GAGTGTTTAATTACAAACTGACCAATGTTAGCTATCGTCGATGCCAAATTCGCTTTTCTTCTCTGATCCTTAAGATCTTTACGGAAATCATAGAGCGATTCTTCATTTGTCAGCCCCATATAGTACAGAATATCTGTGCCTTGCACGATATGCGTGACGCCAGGATTCAAGCGTATCTTGGCGTTGACTTCGTTCGATTTTACACCAATCAGACCGATACCGTACCTGCACATATGACGGTCTTGTAACGAAAACAAACTCATTGGTGGACTTACGTTCGATGAGCATAAAAAGACGCATATGTGAAGGTTTTTCCTATAAAATCGCCGAAAAATTTCGAATCTCCTGCTCGTATCATATAGATCTCATTTCCAGAGTGAAATCCATATACTTTGTGCCATGGTTCCGTGGACTTTTTGCCTTCTCTGGAAAGGCATTGGTAGAGTCTAAACTGTTTGTTTTGTGCTTCCTGAAGTACTTACTCTCCTCTTGAAGTATGCATCAAAAGGGTGATGAAAGTGGAAATTCCTGGACATATGCAGTTGTTCGCTAATAATGAATACTTGAACTCATCTTCGCAAATTAGTACCTCTGTAAACTCTTGTTATCGTTTAAATGATTCTGAGGAAGTGAGTTCATCAAACCTGCATGTTCTATATGCATCTTGGTTTCAGCTCTGAAGATCTGCACATACTGTTTCACATGCGGCGCATAATCTTTGACGGCCCAAGAGCGTAAAATAGTATGCTCATCCTAGAATTTTTGCATTTGTGAAGTTATTTGGAATTTTAGTGAAAAGAAAGTACCGTAATGATTTTTTTGTTTTGATGTCTAGCGGAGAGAATGAAGCAAGCTTGCGCTGCACCTAGACGAGCTCTAAAATATATAGAATGAGCCAGACATAGAGCTTAAGCTCAACGAAGCTAGTTTTTGAAGGTTTGAATTCACAATCAGTTTCTCATTCATAGGTCGTAAAGCTTAGGCATTTTAACATTACTAACCTCTCCAAATCCTCATCACGAAGTGCGCTGCCTCTTATGTAGTGCACTCGTTCGTTATATAAAGGAATTTTCAAAAGAAGACGAGTCTGATTATCGAGTTCAGCAGGTGAAAGCAAAATCACTTGAATCAACTGAAAAATTTCTATTCTGTCCGTAAGCACTGCTAGGGCTTTTGAAGTTATGTGATTTATTATGTAGGAGTCCTCCTTTTTTCTAATATTCAATATTCGAGATTTCCTCTGACAATTATTTTACATCATTGATTTCCGAAGCCATCAACTTAGCGACATGCTTACCTGGTTTTCCGGATGCGCGTAAAACTCGTCCAGAAAGTCTCTTATGAACTCCACTTCCAAATGCGTGATGGTCACCACGACGTGTTTCTCGTTCCTCAACGACCAACCGCCACTATAATCTCCACCAGATTTTTGCCTCTCCAACCAAGTTTGGCCCAGAGCTTCTATCTAAAACCTTTTTCTTGAGCATCTGCGTTCTTTATGCTTTCTAAAACAGCGTACCTGAGATGGAAGTAGAACTAAAGCTATACAAATGAATGATACTACACAAA